CCCAGTAAAGTGAAGCAGAGATCGAACGAAACTGAGACCAGCCATAAAAGTATCGGTTGATAAACGTTACAAATGAGTAACTACGAAACTAACTTAGTCTCAAGCTCTCGGCATCGCATTCGTTCCATGTCCAACTCACATTTCAAGCGCAGATGTTCTTTCGCAGCCTTACTAGAATGAAAATCTATTGAATATATTCTAGAAAGAAAAGAGAAGAGAATGAAGAGAAAGGAAGTAAGTACGGAAAAATCCCACTTTTTCAACTCTATGTGCTTTTTTATCTCATCCTGGGCTAAATGGGCGAATTTTACTGCTTTTCTTTCCTAAAAATAATAAATGATTTCGTATAAAGTGGTTATCAAAACCAAATTATGACAAGGGGATAACTTACTCGATCACTCATAATTTTCGCAAGCCGTGTCCTGTTACTTGATTGAAATTCCAAAACCTGCGAAAGTTTTTTCATGTACATCGTTGCGATTTCCTTCGGATTTCGAAATAATATCTGAAAGTTCCAAAGGAAATTCTATGGAAATTAGAACTGAATACTTGGACAATGCATTGAGGTGTAGTCAGGAGTACATTCCATTAGCAACACTCCAACCACAGACTTCAACTGTGGACCGCCTAGCACATATTCTGGAGCAAAATGAATGTCGGTGTGAAAAAAATGATATTATTGAACTACACCCTCTAGCCGAAAAACTGACATAAAACAGGAGTTGCTCAAGGGTGACTTCTATCTGAACACTTGAATCATTTCTGAAACTAAGCGCAGGACGCAATACGCGGAGCGACCGAAATAGGACACGTTCTGATGGCTTTTAGGCTAAGGCAGGGCACTTAACACGCTCCAAACTTGCACCCAGCTGTGCACATAAAACGTAGTTGGCTGACTGCAAAGTTACAGACTGTTTCAAAAAGCTCTAATACATCATACACCACATAATCTGGAACGAAACTGAGATATGCACTAGGCGGTAAAAACCTGCTAGACTGAAAAGCTTCGACTTACAATTAGCACCCTTACTCTATTATGGTAACGCTTAATCAATCGACACTGCAGTACCACTCATTATCAACAACCTGTAAATCAGGATGAAGATTTCTGTTGATCTCAACGAACGTGCACTTCTTGTTGCAAAATGGGCACAAGGAGTCCGAACCACAACCATCAGCCTTATCTAAATTGAAACGAATTAGAACCACCTCAGGAAAGGAGGAACCTGACAGCAAGCAGCACAAAAATAAGCATAAAAGGGTTGGTAATAGCTTATTCAGAGATGCTGGATAGCTCTTGTAACTTGGGAGAAATAAATTCTAGGGGATACGTTCAGACAAATCGTTTTTAGAGCAACCTACTTACTATAAAGCGCTTCGTCCGTCTGTCTGTCTGTCTGTCTGTCTGCTTGTCTGTCTGTCTGTCTTTCGTTCTGTCTGTATGTTTGACATGAAATTCCTTAGCTCCTTTAGATCTGCCTGGAGAGACCGGGTCGAGCGTGGGATGGGTGGGCCATCTCCCGGGAAGTATAAACCACACATCAGGTTGGCGGAGCCCCGTCCACAGTGGGCGTGGCGTGCATC